ACTTTGTGGAACTCTTTATCCTCTAACCCTATAAAAATCATTAACCAATTAGCTCACTTTGTGGAACTCTTTATCCTCTAACCCTATAAAAATCGCAAAAATAAATGATCTTTCAAAAAAAAGGTGTTATTGTATATATTTCACAAGTTATGTATCTACAATAATGCTACGAAAAGTTTAAACTTTTGCGACCATTTACTATTTTAGTTTTTATAATCAAACACTGTACAGTAATATTCCGTTAGATGAGGTGATTCAATTATGGGAAAACCAGTTCACTGCGATAAAATGACCCAATCTTATACCTGCCTAAATTACAAGAACATGATGGAGAGAGTGCAAACTTTAAGATCTTGTTTAAAGCCTCCGACTCTATGTACTTCAGATTTAACCAAAGCTAATTATTTTCCAAATGAACTCAAAAATTAAAATACACAAACAGTAAGTTGATCACTCTTTGCTGAAAACGTAAGTAAAATGCTTTTATTTGTAAATTAGGTTTATAATCTCCGTTTATTAAATTTGCATTTTCCTATGTTTGTATAAAAGTTGTCTTATGGTATAACAAATTTCTATCAGCGTGATTCTAAAAAAAACTGTTTATTTCACAAAATTATATCTTAAAAACTACTTGTACTAGGGAATCAAAAATTCACTAGAGACAAATTAAAAACCACGAGTTTTATTAGGGAATGTTTAAATGTGGTACACGGTGTTTCATAATCACAATATATTAAATACTTAAATAGTTTTCCTCATAGTCTAGCATTGATTTTATTTCTCCCTCTTTTTTTTTTACCCTCTCTTTCAACAATATGAGGTTAGTGATTTGAATTGAACTCTTGTCAGTGTGCAGGATATTCCAACCATCAATGGACACTGACCGAAACAGGCAATACTTGTATTAGCTTCATTTACACTTGATACGATGACTACGGATGGCAGAAAGCACATTGATCACCTGCTATGACAGTTTTTGAAACGCTCTGTACCATTTCCAGACCTCCCAGAATAAAACTAACCATTCTCAGTTCTCCCAAGATAATTAGTTTTTAAGATACAACTATTTTGATTATGTATTTATTTCTTTATAATTACCCTGTACTTTCAAACTTGGGTAAGGGAAAGGCTTGAAATGTCTTAAACTTGCATAGGTTAATCAACCCTCAGAACCGCTTATCAACAGACAATAGCGTCGACTTATAATAAAAATTTAATACCTTTTCTTTCATGTTTGAGCCCTCCACCCAATATTCATTTACTTCCGACGCCAGCGCCACCTATATGACACCTGAGAAGCTATCACACGTGAGGTTATCCTACGTATATTAGAATTATCAACGAAAAAATACAGAGCGCGTCTTTGTGCAACGTTTTATTAAAATTACTTAATATATCTTTAAACAACTCATGCCAATTAATAAATATTACCCTCCAAACTATTTTCTTTTTCTTTGTTTAAAACTAGAAAATTATAATTATTAAAGTATAGATACGACACGATTATGTTTCTAGACTATTAAGGGAAATTATAATTGGACGGAAGATTTTGTATCAATTAGAGTTGTAGAAAAAAAAAGTTTTAATAATTCACCCAACAGCCGAGGTTGGTTCAATTAAACAGCACTGATAAAGTGACCATTTCTCAAAATTGGACCGAGAGAAGACTGTTCCTCTTTCTTTGTAAGGGTCACCTGAATTTTCTTATTCATCAGTTCTTCACGCAAAGCTTTTACATCTTTTTCGGCATATGCCCTTAGCTGTATTAGAGAAAACAAACACTGATATAATTATGGCATATTTAAAAATTATTATTTATATCTCAAGTTTGTTCAAATATAACTTACAGTTAAGACAATCGGCCTATTTGATTTTCTATCGAAAATATCATAATATCATTTTAACTTGCCTTAGAGCTATGTATAGTCATATATACTATTTCAAATTGTTCTACATAGAGAGGAATCACCTACGTTCAGTTTGAATGTGGCCATCAAAAAATAAAATGAATACAATCTATTTATACCTCACATGCTAGTCTGTAGTTATATCTGTTAGACGTCTAAGTCTAGTTTCACTTTAGGAAGCTAATTTTATGACTTAGCAGAATATATTGTCTAACAAAATCTCCTCACTACTTTTCATTCTACAGACGTCAACAAGAAGTAGCGATTTTGCTAAAATTGACATTTTTGGTTAACACCAGAAATGATTGTAATGATCATGCTTAAACTACAAAAACTATTACTATTATCAGAAACATCTTGAATATTTTAATGGTAGAGATCAGAGAGAAAAACATGAACGTATGTTAACTATATTTTCTGTTTGATTTGCAGAACTATATGAACAAACACATTTTGTAATTTCCTCTTATTAAGTACAAGAAGACACCGCGTCTGCTACACTTGAATTTTTCCATTTTCGTTGGACGTATTAAAGTTTATTAATGGTTTTACATTCACTTCTACTCTTTAGTATCTTCACTAAATACTTGGCCCGGCATGGTCAGGTGGTTAGGGCGCTCGACTCGCAATCTGAGGGTCGCGGGTTCGAATCCCCGTCACACCAAACAGGCTCGCCATTTCAGCCGTGTGGGCGTTATAATGTGACAGTCAATCCCATTATTCGTTGGTAAAAGTTGGTGGTGGGTGGTGACTAGCTGCCTTCCCTCTAGTCTTACACTGCTAAATTAGGGACGGCTAGCGCGTGTAGCTTTGCGCGAAATTCAAAACAAACAAACAAACTAAATACTTCTCATCTTTTAATAAGGTTTGATCTAAGTTTCAGCTGCAGAGATTTTTCCTGAATTCCCTGAGATACGAAGTTGAGTCTGAATTGACGGCTTCAGATTTGATTCCATATTTGTAATCGAATCCAATAATAGTGTGAAATTATGGCAAACACGGCATACATACTTAGGTTTGATTTCCAATGTGTGAATAGGAATGTATGTGATTAAGTTACCAACAACTGCCCTCTCATACATTGGTTCTTAAACTGGGGGGATGACGTATCTTGAGGATCAGTGAGAACATTCTGGAAACAAAAGTTACCGCAAAAACTCTTTACAACAGTGAATAAGGCGACTATACTGAAAGTTTATAGTCAGAACTCTCATACCCGACCACCGAATATTGCTATAGTAGGTTATGATGCTGAAGCGCATTCCAGATTCGTAACACTATGACTGATACATCAAAGTTACTGGATAAAAGAGCTACTATTTCTTTATTCCATCCAAAGTTACATGCATTAAATTTAGAATTAAAGAGATGTCAGCGTCTTCACCTATTGATAACAAGTTTTGGATGTTGGTGAGAAGGCTTACAATGTGTTAGTTAATCTCCAGCCATTCCACCTAGAACGATCTCAACACAATTTCGTTAATAATGTCTGAAGTTTGGTTTTACTTGAAATGAATCCCTATAATGTTTCCTTTCCAAAAGCGGTTGAGTTTTATCATTCACAGTGCTTTAATTTTGATATCTCTGATATATCCTGTAAGATAATTTCTGGTTGTATTCTTGCACATATTCAGCACCAAGATAGGGAAATAGTTGCAGAGTTCTCCAAAGATGTTCAATGGTTTAGTCCTCCCTCGACTCACACATGCCATCATATCAACTAAGTTGGTTGTCTGGAAATAATCCCAGAGGAATATAGCCATCAGAAAACAAACTTTCTTAGTTCATGGATGGAAGAACTATATAGTCTTCCTCACCAAACACTAACTTAATAATGTCCTGTCATATTGAAGGAGCTGTCATACCCTCTTTCTCGGCAAGATATAGGAGTTTATGAGTTTGCTCCTTCCTTCTTGTAACTAAGGATACATTGGACTTTCGTCAGGTTTGCTCTTTGAATTGTGTCCTTGGTTCGCTTTGTCTTGTCAACAAATCTCTCCTTGTAGAATGTATCATATAGTTTCGAGTGTGTTTCCTTGACACTGAGCGGGTTATTGAAGGTATCATCTTTTATAATATCTTGCTTCGAAATATTTTGGAGTTTGGGTTGTGCAATTTAGAAACATGCTATGTATGATAACATGTTTCCTATTTTGCATTCACACAGCTCATAGTTGCTTACTTTTACTACATTGGGATCAGTATAGTTTCCATTGTGCAGCATATTCTGTCCTCCGAGAGATACCAATGATGGTAGCACTGTTTTTCTGCAAATAGTTTATATTATGTACCAGGTACATATCAGCACCAATTGTTTTCAAAAGGCCCAGGAGTCGTTTCACAATACAATGTTACAAAGAGCTATAATATCATTATTCACTAGTTTACTTAGTTATTAACTGCAACTATAATATCATTATTCACTAGTTTACTTAGCTATTAACTGCAACTATAATATCATTATTCACTAGTTTACTTAGCTATTAACTGCAACTATAATATCATTATTCACTAGTTTACTTAGCTATTAACTGCAACTATAATATCATTATTCACTAGTTTACTTAGTTATTAAATACAACAATAATATCATTAATCAGTAGTTTACTTAGCTATTAACTGCAACTATAATATCATTATTCACTAGTTTACTTAGCTATTAACTGCAACTATAATATCATTATTCACTAGTTTACTTAGTTATTAAATACAACTATAATATCATTAATCGGTAGTTTACTTAGTTATTAAATACAACAATAATATCATTAATCAGTAGTTTACTTAGTTATTAACTACAACTATAATATCATTAATCACTGGTTTACTTAGTTATTAACTACAACTATAATATCATTAATCAGTAGTTTACTTAGTTATTAACTACCACTATAATATCATTAATCAGTAGTTTACTTAGTTATTAACTACAACTATAATATCATTAATCACTGGTTTACTTGGCTATTAACTACAACTATAATATCGTTAATCAATAGTTTACTTAGTTATTAAATACAACAATAATATCACTAATCACTGGTTTACTTAGTTATTAAATACAACAATAATATCATTAATCAGTAGTTTACTTAGTTATTAACTACAACTATAATATCATTAATCAGTAGTTTACTTAGTTATTAACTACAACTATAATATCATTAATCAGTAGTTTACTTAATTATTAACTAGAACTATAATATCATTAATCACTAGTTTACTTAATTATTAACTAGAACTATAATATCATTAATCACTAGTTTACTTAATTATTAACTAG